CGCGAAACCCCCCCCGTCTTCGCCCCCACCCTCAAATGCCGTTTAATTAACATACATGGAATGCTCTGTGCCGTAGAAGCATCGTAAATCAAAAGAACCTTGCGATTATTTGGAGGATGAATATGTAAGAATGCGTTGCTATTAAGCTGATGTGCCGCACATGTATTACTCGCAGGGTACGGCTATTTTTCCCTGCTCCAGTAACCTGTTGTATCGTACCTGATGCTTCCCACGCACGGCTGAAGCCTCCCTCGTCTGTTCCAGGGCTGGTGACAGTCTGTAGGTGAGGGAAGGCGATTCACGCCAGTTGTTCAGCAGGAATTTGGGGGAGGCTGAAGGTGTTGAACATGCTGCAGATTTAAGCTGCTCGATTTTTATGCAGAAGGTGGTTGTACAGTCGTCTCAGAAATTTAAAGAACTCAGTTCATGTGCAGTGTTCGGGTGGATGGGTGGTGAGAAGGAGTCAGGGTAAGGCATGCTTGGAAAAGACTTCATATTTTGAAAGGTTGTTTCTGTTTGATGTATGAATGTTGCTTAGAATCTTCAAGTTTGTAATAGTTGGGTGCAGAGACTTCAGAGTGCTGTTTTTGAACCCAGTAAAAGGGTGGTAAAATCTGTTTGTGTGCATTTCAGATTACAAACATGCATGTTCTTGTTAGGACAGAGGTTCTTTCCTTTCGGGGTGCAGTTTTTACTGTTTCTGCCAAAGCTGTCTCTGACGCTTTGTTTGAGAAGGTGGACCAGCTCCATCGCAGAAGTGATTTCTCTTGATTGACAGAGAAAAATGCTGTCAGTCTGTCAGCAGTCTTGGTGATTGATCTTCACTAACTCAGGCCCGGTGACAGCAGAGCAAAATCCAGGCACTGAAGCAGAGACTAGGTTAAACTAAAAAAGAGAAAGTGTCTCTTTGGATGTCAGTGGCCTCCAAGCACAGAACAGACATTTCAGTAAGGCCATATGCCTTGCCAGCTTCTCCAGAAACAGTGGCAATGGAGCTAATTTCTGACCTACACATCCCTCCCTTTTTACATCTTTTCAGCCCTAAGCACAGATTCAGCAACTGTCAAATCATATGGTACCTCTCTTCTGGGGACAAATGTCAAATACTGATCATAAAATTGATTTCTCAACCTTGCTTTTTACTAGGGTTAAAGAGCCTCTGTTTAGACAGGAAGAATAGTTTGCTAACACCCACATTATTTATGTTTCAGATAATGCATTTATGTTCTGTTTTATAAAACAAGTTTCTGAACATTCACAGCCAAAACGATTCACTTTTTAAGACAGTGATAATGCACCTTTTTGGTTCACGGATGTTTTTCAGTTTTTGGAATCAAAGTCATTAGGCAGAACAAGAATAATCTTCTCTATAAACTTGTTTTAGTCATATATAAACCTTTGGTAGAGGGAAATAAGGTTATGGAAACAAAAGAGCTCTTTGTCTGAATAATACTGCAGGTTAATTCCTTAGCAAGCACTGCATTTAGAGACAATTATTTTGATTTGAATTTTGTTCCATAAACATTTTAAAAAGCCCAATATTGTAAAATCTTGCTGCTTTAGAACACACAGTGAGAAGGAGAGGCTTAATGAGGAATCATCAAGTAGATTCCTTACAGGTTATAGGCACTAACAAATAATTTCAGTTATTTGTACCACTGTCTTTTTCTCTAAAGTATTGAATATCAATCCTGGAAACATTTCTGCCAAATAATCTGTCAGGGGAAAAAAACCCCAAACCAACAAGTGAGCTTATGGTGTGATGTCACTCCTAAAAGTGTTCACTCTGAAGTGCTTCTTCTGGGAATTATGATTTAAGAAAATAATCCTGAAGAGCCTTCCTAGAGTTGTACCAAGTCACAACCAATCTCTTATCCAAGAATTTTACTTTTGCAAAGCTGAGATTTCTTTTAACCTATTTTAACATCATGGTCAATATTTTGGATAGTGCCTGTCCATGCATTTTGGCCAGACTTATCACCATGGGGCAGAGGAGTGAAATGCTCTAAAAATAGTTCACTTAAAAGGCAGTTAAGTATGTGAAATATTCCTAGATAACATCTGTGTAAAATCTATTTCTTATTTTCATAATGCATTTTCCTAATAAGATCTGCAAACAAAAAAAAATCTCTGGGTTTTGATCATGACAGTTATATTGTATTTTTCCAGGGAAATTCTTTGCAACTGGGACAAGATATTGGTGGTTTTTTCTGTATTGCCTAAAATTCTATGGCTTTTAGGTCCATATGACTGTAAAAATACTGTTCTAGATATAGTTCAATGTGATCTTAGTCTCAGATGGATCTTGGTCTTAGGTGGAGTTGCAGTAGAGCTTTGGATGTCCAGTTTTATCCAGACAAGTTTGCATGCTGACAGATACACTGTGCACTTATTCACAATGTCCAGGTACATGTCAGTGCAAAGTAGTGGTTTTAGGTGTGGCCCTTTTGTAGTGAAATCAGCATGAGGTTTTCTGAAAGAAAAGAAGCAAACTGTTCAAATGTATCCGTGTTTGGTGATCAATTTTTTGGTGTATTTTTTTTTAAATCAACCCCAGTCTTCTCTTTACTTCTTTATTTAAAGAACCTCCCCTTTTTTTTAGGAATCTGAATTAGTAGAATATTCATTTTAATAATTTTAATTAACCCAGGTGCTCTTATGATTTTTTTATAATATAACATAGCACATTAATGCCTTTCATGGTAACTCTTAGCCTCCCTTCTATTTTCCGCTTGCTCCCATGTAATTTTCTTATGATCCTTCTTCAAAGTCTTTCAGTCCTCAAAAATCATTAGATTCAATTTCTGTTGCTGTTTTCTCATCACAAAGCTTCCTGTGCTGTGCATTAGGGACAGTCATAGCAAATCAGATGAGTAAATTACACAAAGACATTTCAAAGAAAACATAATGAAACCTTCTATCAAGCAACTACAGACTACCTTGTGGAGGGATGAATCTTACACTGGATGAATTCTTCCCTATTCCTCATTATTATTTTCCTCCTGTTCTTTTTTTGCCTGCTTATGCATCATCTGTCAGTGCACATCCTAACAACCTGACACATTTTATGTGAAAACAATTCTCTTCTCGATTGTTTTTTCAGTTCTTTCACCTGCATTTAGATTTCCTCCACTACATGGTACTGCTAAATGCTTCTGCCTTACAAGTCTAAAGGTTTCATCATCCCTGGAGTGCTTGGCTTGTTTTTCAGGTGGCATTGCAGAAGGTAAACTGAATGCATGAGTCCAGGGGACAGGCTTGTTCAGTTTTCCTTCTGTATCAACTGTGATTGGTGTTAAGGTGAATTTTATAGTGATGTGCATGTGGTGACTCCAGAAAATCAATTTAGTTACAGGCCCTTACACTGGCTGCTGTCCTTTCTGAATCTCCAGCTACCTTCTCAGTTGTGTAGCGTTGTCCCTTCACTGCCTGTTACATTGTGGTAATGAGGAATAGAACAATATCCAGAGATTTATTCTCAGCAGATTAATCACACTGCCCTCTGCTGCTTTCAGCTGAGTTGATTTATCCCAGTTCATACCGTGTTTACCTGTTCTTCAAACAAACATTTTGCAGCCCTGTATTTCCCAGGACTGACTTGCAAGAATACTCTGTAAGCCATAAACAAACAAAATTGATATCCCTTTGCTTACTTAAATAATAACAATACCCATGCATTATAGAGGCATGGAAGGTTTTACTCTCTCCTGGCAGCATCCCTAGAAGCCAGATCCAATGTGGCAGCAATTCAGTAGAGGATATACAAATGAAGGAAGAAGAGATAAAATCCAATTCCATTCCTTGGACTTCCTCATGGCCCTCAGCAAGAGGTAGTGTTTTCTGTCCCAAAGTGGCAATCTCCTTTCAGTGTTGTATTCCTTACTGACAAAAATAAATTTTAATAGTCCTTCACTGCAGAAAACCCTTCAGGTTTCAGCTATTACTTTTCTGATAATTCTCTGCTCTTTGGGGTTTTTTTGTTTTATCCTGTACTCAAGCAATAAAAGGTGATTTTGCCTGCTCATCTTTTCCAGAGATATTTTCCATTTGGGTATTGCACAGTATCAGCATAAATGGGATGTAATAGTTGTTCTTTACATTATTCTAGAGTGTAAATTCACTCTGAAACAGTTCAGCAGTTTCAGTTCTAACTTACTTATCTTCTAGAGGCAATCTCTGGTTTTGTCTTGTTTTGCCTCTACGGATGGAAAGTTTCTGTGCTATTAGAAGGCTCCTGGCTTCTCTGGAGTCTCAGTTACTTTTCTTCTGCTATTTTTACTCAGGTCTTTACTGTGCTGCGATAGAAGAGTTTAAAAATCAAGGAACCAAAATTACCTTCCCCACCCTCCAAGGGGTTGCCTTGGTCTCTGTACTCAGGGTAGCAAACCCTTAGCAGAGGGAACCTGTCTCATAGTTGGCTGTTGGTCCATGCAGGCATCCTTCTGTCACAGGATCAAATCTCTTTCTGTTTGCTTGTGCAAGTGAAATGCAGAAGCCTGTGGAGAGCAGGTGGGGAGGCACAGGCATGTGGCCTCCAGCTGTAGTTGCCAGTTTTAAAAGGCTGCAGGAGGCCCAGTGGGGTTTGGGCATCAGCACCTTCTGTTGCTGTGTGCTCCTGTTTTGCTGAGGTGGGAGCTGACATCTTCATTGCTGGCATTACAAATGGATGTGCAGCAGGTTTGCACTGAGGTGGGTTTCCAAGCCACTGGGGACCAGGAGAGCCAGCCAAGTTCCCAGCTTCTTGTCTGGCAGGTGGAAACTGCCAGATGACCTGGTCTGAGGCCAGGGAGAGAGCCCTGGGAGATGGCTCACAAGTGTAGGAACTGGCAAGAATAGGGCTGTTTCTAGATGCAGTGTTGGCAAGGCTTTATCACAGGCCAGCAGAAAAGAGAATCTAAGATTTAACCATTACAGATTGCTCAGCAGAAATTTTCTTTTAATGCTGAAAAAGAAGCATCTGTCAAATACTTATTTATGTATTATATTTGCAAATTTTGAGAAGTGAATAATTTGTGGAGGGTTTGGGGGTTTTGTTTGTTTGTTTGGAAGGATTTTTGTTTTGGTGTAGATGTAGGATTTTATAAAATGCCTGTGAAATGGACTTTGCAGACTATCCCTGCAGCTTGCATGAACTTGATGACTGTATTGGAGATCCTCAATTTGATAGGATTCCTGAGGGCAAGTCCTGTCTTTGCTGAGTTTTGTCCCTTTGCAAAAGTTCTTTGTTTGGAGAAATCCAGTTTTTTTGAGGATTCTTTTGTGCTGTGGGGACCTGAGTGTGTGCTGCTCAGGCTGAAGGTATGTCGCAGGGATATATTGCTGTACCCTACGTTGTCCCTTGTTCCTGTCATGGAAGGGAGCTGTGGGAACACATCCCCAAGGCCTGTGTACGTCTTCCAGCCCTTGGCTGTGTGGTCAGGAAGCTGACCTCCACTCCGTTATGAGATTAGTATGATTTGTGGTGACAAAATCAGAAATATTAATGTCTTTTTCTTTTGAGGGAGAGTGTGGGGGATGCAGCTGTGCAGCTGATGCTGGAAGGTGTAATTTTTGAGTGGTGGTGAGCCTGGCTAGTGGCCAGGAAGGGCCCAGGGGGTCTGACCTGCAGGAGCATTTGTTTCCTTGTTGTAAGGAATTGCTTAAAGAGGCAGTGGCTGTTCTTTTAAGGAAAGGATGGAGCTGGATTCATGTATTCTGCACTGTCGTGATGTGCTGTGTATGGGACATGTACATCTTTAAATATTTTTTAAGCTTTTGCATGGGAAATACTTGGTGCATATTTTCATTTCTGACCTTCTAGAAATTCCCTAATCCTTTAGGGGGTCACTTTTTAACCTTTTTAGGTGTTCTTTTGATTTTTGTAGTTGGTCCCTTGTTCATCTGAGATGATGTAAGATTCAGTGTAGCTCTGAAATTTTGTTTTCTGGTTTTGTTTTCTCCAGTTTATTTCTTCCATCTTTGTTTAAACACCTGA